TTTCTGGGAAATGGATGGGCAGATTCAGTGAGGGGGCCAGTACTGGAAAACGGCCCAGCCCCTCTTCCTCTCTGGGGGAGTGCCAGCCGATCATCAAAGCGGATAGCTGTGAGGTGAGGACAGCAACCACAGGGATGAAAGGGTTCTGTTCTCAAGAGACCCAGCAAGAGGGGGCGCTGTAAAACAAGCCCTGGTGGGAGCAGGGGCTTTGAGGTTGGTTGATGAGTCTCTGGGAGCAATGAAACATCAAACAGTTTAGACCACTGCTGAGTCACGGGTCTGGTTCTGCAAGGGGACGGAAATCCCGCAGTGACGGTCGGTCCCGGAGACTGGCTGGCTTTGTGGTCCTGGGGGTGGGGCCATGTCTACACTCCACACACATTCCTCACCGCAGGACTCAGGTCGGTGTACGCTGGCCTGTTTGTGGTTGGAAAGGAAACCTCAAGTTCAGATGGGCAAATGGAAGGTGAGTTTGGTTCCCGAGTCCTGTGCCCCAAAGGATGGCATAGGGGCCCCCGCGAGTGCTTTCTAGGAGTGCGGCCTGGCTGTAGTGGGAAAACTGTAGACTTCTCAGACAGACGGCTGTGTGTAAATCTCGTCTCCCCCACCAGGGATTGTTTTGTGACTTCTCTCAGGTCTGACTCAATGAACATGAGTTTGAGCAAGCTCCGGGAGATAGTGCAGGACAGGGAAGCCTGGCGTGCTGCAGTCCATGGGGTCACAAAGAGTTGGACACGACTGAGCAATGACGACAATCAGGTCTTTTAACTTACCTGAGCCTTGGTTTCTTCATCTGCATAACAGGGAGGATGAGATCAGACTGTTGCGGGTGGTGACCATGCTGGCCGTCCGTAAGTCCAGTCACAGCATGGATAAAGTGTCACATTTATGGATAATCGTAAGTGATAGCTAGTCACAGCTTTTGTGAACACATACTGTGTGCAGAGCCCTGGTTGGGAGTGGTAAGGGGGACAGTCAGATGGGTCCCTGCTCTCACCAGGCCTGGAATCTGTATAATGTCAAGTGTGGTGAGCTTGGCCTGTAAAAGCGCCCCTGGAGCACACACTGCGGAGCCAGGGAGAAGGTGTCCCTTCGCCTCCTGAGCTCTCCCACCTCTCTCCCAAGGTGGTTGTTTTTTTGTTTTTTTTTAATATTTCTTTGGTTGCTCCGGGTCTTAATCGTGGTGTTCCCTCCCAGGGATTGAACCTGGGGGCACTCTGCATTGGGAGTGTGGAGTCTTAGCCAGTGGAGCAGCAGGTACGTCCCCCAGGTTTTGTTTGGTGGGGTATGTGTGTGTGTGTGTGTGTCTGTGTGTCTGTGTGTCTGTGTGTGTGTGTGCGTGTGCACGCGCTCAGTTGTATTGACTTTTTGCAACTGTAGCCGCCAGGCTCCTCTGTCCCTGGGATCTTCCAGGTAAGAATCCTGGAGTTGCCATTTCCTCTTCCAGATCTTCCAGACCCAGGGATCGGGCCCTTGTCTCTTGTGTCTCTTGCTTCGGCAGGCAGATTCTTTACCGCCAGCGTCACAGCCGGTCTGCCGCTGAAGAGGGTGTCTTAGACCCACGCGGGACTTGTGGTCTGGTGGGTGTGAGTGTGACCTCGGTGCGAACAGGGCTCGCTGCCCTCGGCTCCCCGTTGAGGGCGTGGTCTGCCGTCTCAGCCACAGCCTCGGGCCTCCCCCTCTCCAAGGTCTCTAGGACAGGGTGATGCCTGACCTTTGCCTTCAGGGATGGCCTAACTCGGGGGGGGCCCAGAAAGTGGGTGGTGGGAGCCACGCAGCTCCACCGTGCATCCTGGAGGCACAAGTGCTGGTAGGACGCAGGCGCGCCGACAGAAGCCCGGGAAGCCGGAAGAGAGCTGCTGGACCAGACGGACAGCTCCGGGCAGGGGTCAGCGTGGCGGAGGCGGGCCCGGGCGAGGACGGGGCTGCACCCTGTGCCTGGGAGGAGGCTGGAGGTGCTGAGGCAAAAGACGGGGGGAGGAGGGGTTCTCGCTCCTTCATTCAGCAGATGTGTACTGAGTGCCTGTCGTGTGCCCCGTGCGCTCAGCGGACGGCACCTGTTCTCAGAGCCATGAGCGGGGGGACTGGGGTCCTCGGAGCCGCGAGCGGGGGGGCTGGGGTCCTCAGAGCCGTGAGCGATGGAGCCAACATTATCCTTAGGAGAGACACACAGGGAAGGGAATACGTGGTAGATGGGGACCAGTGGCAAGGAGGGACAGGAAGAGTGTCAGAGGTGTTGAGGTTCTTAGCAAGGGTGACCCAGGGGACCTGGTTTAGGAGGAGCATGAAAAAGACCTGAAGAACGCTAGGGAGTGTGCTGTGTGGCTCTGGGAGGGAAGGCTGGTCCTGGCCCGGGGCAGAGCAGGTGGACAGGCAGGGTGTGCAGGGCAGGGGGTGGCCTGGCTGGAGCTGGGTGAGGAAGGGGAGGGCGGTGGGAAGTGGGGCAGAGGTGAGAGAGCGAGCAGGATGCACAGGACCTTCTAGGTCACAGGAAGGACTCGACTGGGAGTCAGACGAGCGACGAGATCTGCCTTAGATCTTAACAGGATTGTTAACACTTCAGCTGCTGTCGAGAACAATCCGTGGGGGGCAGGGGCACAAGCAGGGTCAACAGGAGCCCGCAGCGATCCAGGCGTGTCCCCCACATGTGGTGCGTCTCCTGCCACTGAGCAGGCTCTCAACACGTACTTTTGATGTGAGTCGGTGACGCCCAAACGCCTGTTCGCAGACCTGTGCCGTGTAGGCTGCCCAGCAGAGCTGCAGAAACATATCCTCGGCACTGTTGCTGGGGGTCCTGATCCAGTAGGTTTCTGATGGCAGAGGGGAACCTGACTTTCAGGACATTCTGCAGGTAACTCTGGGCCGCAGAGCTGGGCTTCTGTTAGGAATGTTTTTCCACAGAATAGAGACCGACCAACAGTAGCTTAAACAAGGGGGATTTATTTGTATTTACAAGAATCTGGGAGGAGGATGGCTCCTGGCATTGGCTTGGTCACATGACAGTCGGGACCGTTTCTCTGAAACGGTTTCTCTGAGATTCTCTCGGCCTTTTTCCTCATAGTTGCAACATGGCTGCTGTGGCTCCAGCCATCCCAGCCTCGATGAAGGGGGGGGGAGGGAGGGGCAAGGGGGTGTTACCTAGTCTGTCTCTTTTGTCAGAACAACAAGCTTTCCAGGACCCCCTGTAGACTGTGCTGTAAATGTCGCATGGTCGCCCCAGACTGCAGAGGAGGCTGCAGCAGTGAGACGCTGTGTTTGCAGCCTCTGCTGTGGGAGATGGCTGGAGAGGAGGAGTGGGGACTGAGCCCTGGGGCAGGATCAAGGGTGTCTGTTGGGCTCGGTGGACGCCGTGGCACTCGAGGTCTGTTCTCATGCTGCCAGGGCTTTGTCTCCGTGCCCTGCTGCCCCCATGGAGCACCTCTCGGGCCCACGGTGAACCCCCAAGCCTTCCCTTGGGGGCTACTCCATCCTAGAGGCTCAGTCTCATTCTCCTCAGGTCTGAATGACATGGGGCGACTTCTTTGGGGAAGTGGTGGTCTTTAAGCAGGGGTTGTGCATTTTTGGCATGACCCTTGCCGGACACACATGTAAAACAGCGTTCCCTCCTTCTCACCAAAATGGTCACATTCAGGAGCCTTTTAGAGCCTCCCTCTACACACACCATGTCTATATTCATGCCCCTTAGCACACACAGGAGAAGGACAATGTCTCTGGTCACCCTCCAGCCACCCAGGGCGGTCCCTTCCCTTCCACCTTCGGTCCAGGTGCCAGACTGCATCCCAGCGGCAGCTCTGTCCAGCAGTCTTGGTGGGCGGGGTGGGAGGTAAAAGGAAATGCTTTTCTACTAGTGCCCTGTTACCTTGAATGATGGGTTTACAAAGCCAGAGAGAGAGAGAAAGATAACACTAAGTCACGTCCGACTCTTGCGATCCCATGAACTGTAGCCCGCCAGGCTCCTCTGACCATGGGATTCTCCAGGCAAGAACACTGGAGTGGGTAGCCATTTCCTTCTCCACGGAAACTTCCCAACCCAGGAATTGAACCCAGGTCTCCCATATTGCAGGCGGATTCTTTACCAACTGAGCTATGGGGCAGGGGTTTTATTCTTCAGGGGAAAAGGCAAAGGCCTGGGGGGTCTCCAGATCTTTAAATATGGGACAGAAGCGAAAGTTCAAACATTTGGTCTAGTGCTGGGAGGCCAGTTTGGAGCAAGAACCCGTGAGTGAGTTCACTGAGTTGGCCTCAGGCGACAGAAACCGAGTCTGGTGTGGGCCTCAAGCTGATCAGCAGGGCCAGGGTGGTGCTGGGGCCTTCAGACTGGTTTTTTATGTTTTCCAAAGCCTGTTGAAAATCACTATATATTTGCTTTTTGTAGACTTTGGGGAAAGGTTCTTTTTAAAAAGTTTTGTGAGTTTTTTTGGCTAGAATTGCATCAGTATGGTGAGAAAGGCAGATTGGCAATTACATGCATCTCTGGTCACATAACCAACACCACTTCCTAGCTAGGATTGTTCCCGGGCCCAGGGCCCCTGGGGTGGGAGGAAAATAAAGAGCGCCTTGGATGCGGATGGGAATCTCCAGGATGGGGGTCACGGGAGCTGGGGGGGCTTATATTCCCCTCGGATCCTGCATTTTGCCAGGGACAGTGTGGGCCTCAGAGCGGCAGTCCAGGAGCTTGTTAGAAACAAGATTCTCAGCTCTCACCCCAACCTGCGGGATCAGAAGCCGTCTTCTAGCAAAGGGCCCTGGTAATCATAGGCACGGTAAAGTTCAAGCAGCACTGTTCTAGTTTCCAGAAGCGGAGCGGCTGCAGCCCTGGGGCGCTGTGGTTACAGGGTCTGGATGGGGGCGGGGGAGTGTGGAGGGAATAAAGGTGAAGGGGTGCGGAGAGGCCGAAGCTGACTTCGTTAGTGCGCCTCTGCCTTGGGCCGCCCCGCCCTTCCTTACTGAGGACAGGCCGTTCTCCCCTCAGGCTTTCAAGGCAGGTGCCCCCCATGGGGCCTGGGCAGCGCGGACGGCTCGTCCAGCCAGAGGGGCACCAGTCCCTTCTGAGCTCCGCCCGAAGCCTCCTGGCAGGGCTCGGCAGCCCCTCAAGGAGGGAGCCTGGAGAGAGCTCCCTCAGCAGTGGCTGCAGCTTGGAGCAGGGGCAGTGAGCGCTAGAAGGAAAAGCCTGCACTCAGGAGCCCCCGTCTTCTGGGGGTGGGGCGATGCGTTTTTCCAGGAGCGAGCAGGAACGCCGCAGAGCCGCGTCTGGGGGCCAGGGCTGCCAGGTAGAGGAGGGCGCGGTGGGGGCCGGGCGGGCTGGGGGACGCTGGGGCTCCGGGAGCCGGCTCTACAGCGCCCTCTCCCCACTGGTTAAAGTGGTGATTCTCCGCAGGTTTTCCCTGACTTTAATGAATTCAGGGGCATGGTCCTCTTCCTTTTCGGGGGGCTTCTCCAGCTGAAGGGGAGAGAAGCAGAGATGAGAGGTGGGTGGGCGAGGCAGAGCCCCACTCAAAAGCCTCTGGGTTTGGACCCAACCAGGATCAGTTCTCCCAGCAGCTTGGAAGCTGAGGGGACAGAGCAGGGGACTGTGTTCTCCCCAGGAAGCCCGCTTCAAATTGCAGACCTCATCTGAGCCCTAGGTTCCTCATTTCTAAAATGGTAACTCCTCTGGGCTCAGAGGGCAGCTGTAAGATAATCAGAATCAGCGCACAACAGATTGGGCCAACAGAAAACCAGTTCAGAGAGGGGAAGTCACTGGTCCAAAGTCACACAGCGAAGGGAGTGGCCGAGTGAGGACGCAGGCCAGGCGTGGACTCTGGGTCCAGTCCTCGTCTGGCTCAGCCTCCTTGTCAGCTGTGACTGCAGGCCGAGCACCCCCCTGGGCCAGCAGGCGGTCTTGGAGGAAGCAGGGGCGGGGTCTGGGGCCCCCACCCACCTGGTTCAACCTCTGCTGCCGTCTCAGCAGCTCCTGCTCGAAGGGGCACTGCAGCCGCTTGGCCTCCAGCTCCTCCTTCTTCTTCTTGATGAGCTGGTTCCGCCGACGGTGCTCCAGGACGCGCTGCAGCTCCGGCTTGCTGTCCACACCCAGGCCCCTGGGGAGGGGGGTGGGGGGAGGCGTTAGGATACCCGCACCCAGGGCTGCACCCTGTACTGGCCTCAGCCAGTACCAGGAAAGCATGACTGTCCTAGGGAAGGGAGGCCCCTAGACTTGAGACTCCAGTCCCCGTCACAGGTGCCACAGACTGAAGGGGGGTGGGGGGTGGTTGGTCTGTACCCGGGTCTGTCTGAGCACAGAGACCAGGCTGTAGGATATTACTGGTTATTTTCTCAGGGTAAGTTTCTAGAAGTAGAATTGCTGGGTCAGGCTCTCTTCAAAGATTTTGGTTACATGTTCCCATCTGCTCCTTAGAAAAGGTTATCCAATTTATAACTTTTGTCAACAGTATTTCAGAGCATCTGTTTCTCCTTACTGTCCCATCTTCTTGTCTTACAGAATGTGGTAGGCAAAAAGGAAAAGCCTCTGGGTTTGGACCCAACCAGGATCAGTTCTCCCAGCAGCTTGGAAGCTGAGGGGACAGAGCAGGGGACTGTGTTCTCCCCAGGAAGCCCGCTTCAAATTGCAGACCTCATCTGAGCCCTAGGTTCCTCATTTCTAAAATGGTAACTCCTCTGGGCTCAGAGGGCAGCTGTAAGATAATCAGAATCAGCGCACAACAGATTGGGCCAACAGAAAACCAGTTCAGAGAGGGGAAGTCACTGGTCCAAAGTCACACAGCGAAGGGAGTGGCTGAGTGAGGACGCAGGCCAGGCGTGGACTCTGGGTCCAGTCCTCGTCTGGCTCAGCCTCCTTGTCAGCTGTGACTGCAGGCCGAGCACCCCCCTGGGCCAGCAGGCGGTCTTGGAGGAAGCAGGGGCGGGGTCTGGGGCCCCCACCCACCTGGTTCAACCTCTGCTGCCGTCTCAGCAGCTCCTGCTCGAAGGGGCACTGCAGCCGCTTGGCCTCCAGCTCCTCCTTCTTCTTCTTGATGAGCTGGTTCCGCCGACGGTGCTCCAGGACGCGCTGCAGCTCCGGCTTGCTGTCCACACCCAGGCCCCTGGGGAGGGGGGTGGGGGGAGGCGTTAGGATACCCGCACCCAGGGCTGCACCCTGTACTGGCCTCAGCCAGTACCAGGAAAGCATGACTGTCCTAGGGAAGGGAGGCCCCTAGACTTGAGACTCCAGTCCCCGTCACAGGTGCCACAGACTGAAGGGGGGTGGGGGGTGGTTGGTCTGTACCCGGGTCTGTCTGAGCACAGAGACCAGGCTGTAGGATATTACTGGTTATTTTCTCAGGGTAAGTTTCTAGAAGTAGAATTGCTGGGTCAGGCTCTCTTCAAAGATTTTGGTTACATGTTCCCATCTGCTCCTTAGAAAAGGTTATCCAATTTATAACTTTTGTCAACAGTATTTCAGAGCATCTGTTTCTCCTTACTGTCCCATCTTCTTGTCTTACAGAATGTGGTAGGCAAAAAGGATCTGATGGAGCAGCTTGGAGAAGGGTGCCCGCTCCTTTTGTTTGTTCTGTGAACTAACTGTACCTATCTTCTGTTCATTTCTTCTTCATGGATTTGTAAGAGATAACGTTATGTATTTTTGTCATTTATATTGCAAACATTTGCCCTGATTTGTCTTTAGGCTTCTGTTTTTTAAGCTGTGGTGATTTTAAAAGGGATGACTCTAAAAGGGATCTTGACAAAGTACTTCCAATACACAGTCAACCCTCCGTTTCCACAGATTGAATTCGTGCAATGCCACTTTATACAAGGCCCTTGAGTTTTGGGGTTCTGTGGGGAGGGAGCGGGTCCTGGAACCAGTCCCGGCGGATACAGAGAGACTAGTGTAACTAAGGGACAGGAGGACAACACAGAGGATGAAAAATGAGATCTGCTGGAAGGTACGTTAGTTGAAAATAAGGACAATCACCGCCGGCATCAATACCAAAAACGACCACTAGAGGGAGCCGCGGAGGCTTTGCAACCTTCGTCCTGGAGCTGCTGGGCAGACCCTCTTAGGAAGGGAGCCTCAGGGAGCTCAGCCTCTCTCTCCCTCCCCTTCCCCGTGCGTGCTCAGTTGCCTCAGTCGTGTCTGACTCTCTTTGCAACCTCATGGACTGCAGCCTGCAAGGCTTCTCCGTCCATGGGATTTTTCTAGATAAGAATACTGGAGTCGGTTGCCATTTCTTCCTGACCCAGGATCAAACCTGCATCGGCGGGCAGATTCTTTACCACTGTGCCACCTGGGAAGCCTGCCCTTCAGCACAGCCCCTCAGGCACCCAGTGGTCCCAGGGCTCACAGCTCCAGCCTGGCCCACTGCTTGCTCCTGGCCTTCCTGCTCCACTCCTACCTCCTCAACCACGGTGACACCCCGCCTTGGGACCCTTCACAGGCCACATTCTCCTCTGGCCCCCCACAATCTTCAGTCACTCGGAGAGCCTCCAGGTTCCTGTGCACACTCACATCCTCATCCATCTGCTTCTCGCGGCCAGGGCCCACCTCCCACCCTTCCAGAGGCATCACTTCCTCCCTGGAGCCCAGGCTGGTGGCTCCTCAAAGCACCCATCCCACCATCTGGTCAAACATCAGTCTCCTCTGTGAGGGCAGCACCCGTGACTGACTAGGCGGGATTACGGGGCTTCTGGACCTCCATGGTGTCTGCTGCTGACCACACAGGGCACCCTCAGACCTGCCCCGGGTGACTACCAGGCCTGCCCTTCGGCGGGTGGGGGCGGCACCTCCCCGAGCCTCAGTGGTCATCTCAGGCAGCCGCGCTCCTCTCCCACCTCCTGTGGTTCATGAGCAGCTCGCGGTGCATCTCCTGGTGGCTCCGGGAGGCCTTCACGGGGTTCAGCAGCTTCTTGGGCTTGATGAGCTCTGGGTTCCACTCCCTGTATTCTGGTCGGGCCATCAGGCCTCCGATGTCGGCCCGCTCCCTCTGGATCTCCGAGTACATGGAGGCTGTGGAAACGACACAGCAGGGACAGGGGAGCTGGTCAGAGCTGCGCTCGCAGTCTCGGCCATGCTCGTGGTGCAGTTAAAGGGCAGGGGTTTTGGTGTTTGATGGATCTCAGCCACCAGCTACTCCGCAGCCCTGGGGAAGCTCCCGGACTTTCCGAGCCTAGGTTTCCTCATTTGTGAGATGGAAATGATAGATGGCCTGTGCCCAGGGCGTAAGGATTGGGGATCATGGCTGTAAACTAGGGTACTGAAAAGTGGTACTGGGTCACAAAGTATGTGGGTTGACACATGCAAATGTTTTTGACCTTTGAGGAAAAAAAATTTTTTTTTCCCTCCTATAAAAGGAATTCTGTTTGAGTTTGTTTCTCAGGGAGCTTGTATCAGAGAAAGAAAGAGATATATAAAAAGAGCAATGTGTACTTGTTAAAGGTAATTGGGATAAATGCAGTGATGTAAAGAAAGCATCACCCCTTATTTTCCTGCCTGTAGTTTCCCCATAGACATGTCCAGCTTTTCAGTTTCTCCAGATCAGAGAGAAGGGTATGAAATCCCAGGACTGCCATGTCTAATTACAAAGGGAGGGTTGTCATCTTTAATGCAGATATCTGCCTTCTTCATGGCCTCAATTCCACCACAGTAGCTTGAAATCTGTCAGTGCGTTTGAAATTCAGCAGAAGTGCTGACTTCTGTCCAGGTGGGCTCCATATCCTTGAAATACCCTCAACTAAGCCACTATGAGGGTGAATGTAAGAAAGAAGAGTGTGTGTGTGTGTGTGCATGCATGTGTGTTAGAGAGACTTAAAATCCCTCTAGAGAATGACCCAGGCTGGCTATGAGCTGCATACAGTATTTTGAGTGAAACCTCAGGCACTGGTTCCGCCCTCTTCATGAGTCCTGTTTTTTCTGAGGCAGAGCCTCTACCACACACCAGGCATGGGCAGTGTCTGGCTTGGTATTGAGAAGGCACTCAATAAATATCTGTTGGTAATTGGTCATTAAACCTGTGAGGTTGTACAGATGAGGAAACTGAGGCTCAGGGAGGTTGGTCTCGGGGAACCTGTGGCTTAAGGCATGTGGTTTCCACAATGGAACTGAGGGGGTGTGTCCCCACTGCACACACCAGGCTTCAGTTCCCCTCTGTAAATACCACCAATCGTAGTGGTGTGTATATGTCTATCCCACCCAGACGCATTTACACTACGATACTACGGTGTAGACAGCACAGGGGGAAGGAGAAGTACAGTCTGGGTATAGGACAAATATCTAATTAACCTTGACAATCCATGCCAATGTGGATTAGGTGCAGACACATACTGTTTGATTCTACCTGTGAGATATCTAGACTAGTCAAATTCACAGAATCAGAAAGCACATTGGTTGATTCCAGGGGCTGGGAGGGGGATGGGGACAGAGCCTCAGATTACGAGGGTGAAAAACTCAGGCGATGGACGATGGTGCCAGCTGCACAACAATGTGGATGTATTTAGTGCCTCTGAACTGTACACGTTAAATGGTTAAAATAGTATGTTTTATATTATGTAAGTTTCACCACACCAACCGCTGTGTGGCCTGTGGACAGGCCTTTACTTCTTCCCTCCCTCTGGGAAGAGGATGAACGCCATCCTCCGCCTGATGAACAGCAGTGCTCCAAGCAGACTAGACTGGGACAGAGGTCTGTGCAGGAACCTAGAGGTGGGTAACAGGTTCAGGGGGCGGGGCGGAGAAAACAGGAGGAGAGGGTTTGATGGGCTATAAATTGCAAGGTGATGTGTTAGGGAATGTGGACATCAAAGCTCTGCAAATGGGAGCGCTCCAGACACATGTTTGGCATGTCTGTTACCTACTACAGGGTGCTGTTAGGATGACTAAGTGAGACTCCCTTTGTAAGATGCTGGGAAAACTTAATATTTTGGATGTAGACAGACTGTGTCAGAACCTAGAGCCATAGTTGTCAATTTTTTTCAATTCCTAAACCATTTCTATAATGAGAATTCTAATTTTCTCCCTTCTTTTTTCATAAGGCTATTGATTTTCAGATATATCCTTAATTTTGGGGGTCTTAAACGACCGTGGTAGTGTTTAGTAGTTAAAAATGGGCACTAGACAGTTGGCTATATCACCTCTTTCCTCCTTTAAAAAATGTGGATATTCTCTTAGCCTGAGATTAAGTTGTCCGGGAGCCAATGCATTAACAGTATCTTGATTCAGATTGGAGGTTGGAGAATTTTCCCCCTTTCTTCTGCCTTTTCCCATTATTAAGTCTCACCAATCCTTTAGCTGAATAATTTCCAGCCACTCTCTTTCCTTCCTATGTCTTCAGCACAGGCCATTATCACACCATGCTTAAGTGCTTCCACTTCTCAGCTAGTCATCCTGCTGTTAGTTCCTGTATGCCCTCAGAGCTTCATAATTTTCATCAGTCACACTGTCTTGAAATCAACTAACTATGGCACGGAAGCAATGAGACAGGAAATAGAAATAAATTATATAACTTTTGGAGAGGACAGAATTAATATCTTTGTAAGATGTCATTATCTATAGCCAGAATTCCCAAATGGATTAACAGAAAGCATTTGGAGCTAGTGAGGAAATTCAATAGTGTGTCCAGATTCAAAACAAACACATAAAACCAAGAGGTTCCTGCGTAACAGGAACAACCGTTGAGAAAGTACACAATCACACAATTACTCGTTTATCCTACAGTATGTTGGAGTTCCTGTAATTTACCAGGTAGGGTGGTAGAGGTGAACTCAGCAAGCAAGGCTCCGCCTCCCCCAGAGCTGAGATTCTGCGAGGGAGGCAGACAGCAAACGTGTACACAGACCAACAAAAAGAAACGGTTGCCGATGGAGAGGCGCGAACGCCCGGGGCTGACCGGAGGACCGCCTTCAGCCAGGTGCGGCGGGAGGGCCTCTCGGCAGCTGACCTTTAAGAGCTGAGGAGGAAGAGGGAGGCTGGCGGGGCCGACCAAACAGCCTGTGTGACTCATTTACCTTGAACAAGCTCGGTCTGTTCAGGAAACAAAAAGGCACAGTGTGCCCGAGTGGCGTGAGGGAGTGACGGAGCGGGCCCTGTTTAGAGGGAGGGTGGACGGGTGGTTGCAAGTGGCGGAAAGATCGCGTCGGGTTTGATGTTAAGAAGGTCATTCTTGCCGCTGTGTGGGGAGAAACTGTCAGCAGGTTTGGGAAATCTTTTATATGACTTTGGTTTCTTTTCTTTGCAACGGGCAGCCTGTCTTTCCCGTTAAATTCCAGAGGAAAGACATCCGATTGGCCGGGCCGAGGACCTTTCACCCCATAGGTCAGCAGCGAGCCAATGGGTGGGCTGCCCGCGTCCAGTCCCCGCCCCAGGGGGCCCACACGGGATCGCGCTTACCCGCGGGTCCTGCGTTCTCAGTTGCACTGCCAGCTAAGTCGCTTCAGTCTAGTCTGACTCTTTGCGACCTCGTGGACTGTAGCCCGCCAGGCTCCTCTGTCCACGGGGCTCTCCAGACAGGAATACTGGAGGGGTGCCATTCCCTCCTCTGATCCCTACATGGGGATGGAACTCGGTCTCTGATCTCTCCTGCACTGGCAGGCAGGTTCTTTAGCACTAGGCCCACCTCCTGCAAATTATGTAGCCTGCCCTGCCCCCCGGGTCCAATTAATGACCAGCTCTGGGCTTTAAAAAAACAGCATCGGTGGTGAGGTGTAGCAGATGGTGTTTTGCTGAGACCAGGGTGGTGGTGTGATTGAGGCAGGAGTCTGAAGGACGTGACTGGTTCTTCAGCTCCGACCTGCAAGCTGGGAAAACTGCTGCCTCTGCCAGTTAATGTTCTGAACTCCAGGAAACAACGTGTGAGATCCGTGGGTAGTGTGTATGTGTCCCTGTCCCAGGGTTTAGGGAGCTGCAGAGCCAACCTGCCTTTAGTTTAATTAAAAGAGGCCTCAGACACAGTGGGGGAAGTAGAGGGAGGGACAAATTGAAAGAGGAACACTGAAACACATACATTACCATATGTAAAATAGATAGCCTGTCGGGAATCTGCTGCATGACACAAGCAGGTTAAATCGGTGCCCTGTGACAACCCAGAGGGGTGGGAGGGAGATTCAAGAGGGGGGACAATATGTATACCGCTGGGTCATTTCCAGGGCTGCTGGGGTGTCCTGAGCAGGGAGGTGGCGGTGAGGTGAGCATAAGGTCATCTCTGAAAAGAGAAAGGTGAATGCTCTGAGGAGCTAGTGAGCAGAAAAGAGAACCTATTGAGGAGAAAGTTGAGTGGCTGATGCATGTCCTTCACTGGTTGTCAAAGTAAGAGAATGATATTGGAGCCATTGGAACCTGGACTGAACGTTGGATCAGCCCCTTCCTAGCCTTGGGCAAGTGTCTGCAGCGGGAGTCCAGAACTCCAGCCTTTGGCTGAAACCCAACCCCTGCGGAACACAGCCATGCCCACTCATTACTTACTGTGTGTGACTGCTTCCGAGAGAACAGCAGTGATGAGTAGGTGTGACAGCTGCTGTTGATCAGCACCCTTCTTCATGAGGTTGTTGCAAAATAAAGGAGGTGGTGCTTGGCTAGTGAGTGCCTAGCACTGAGCTGAGGACTCAGTAAGTGCTGGCTGCCAGGGCCTCACTCCCAGAGAGGAAACTGAGTGGGGCCACCTCATTAGTTGTATTAATAATCACTGTTAAAGGATCCCACTTCTCCAGTTGACTTACATACATTACCACGTGTTCAGCGCCTAGGGGGAGGCCTGTGTAGCACAGGGGGCTCCGCCCGGTGCTCCGTGCTGACCCAGGTGGTGGGGGGCTGATTCATATTGTCGTGCAGCAGAAACTAACAACATTGTAAAGCAATCATGCTCCAATTAAAAAAATTATACAGTATAAAAAAAAATCCCACTTGTCTCAGATTGAGCTTTCTCAGTCTTTTTAAAAACTGCACTGGTTATTTCTTTGTTACAATTTTAACAGTCCACATACCACAGCCATGAAGGAGAACTGAGTCTTAATAAAGTA